TTCTTTTTATTCAATAAACAAAGCATTAAATAATATGACTATTTATTAAAAACCTTTGAGCATCAACACAAAGATTAATTAAAAACACACCTTAATTTATTGCAAAAAACACACAAAACAAACCATACATAAGAGCATAATAAAAAAAACAAGCATAATTCCAAAAAACACCACACACAAAATAAAGCATAATTAACCCTAAAGCATAATTCCAAACAAAGCACTAATCTTGACTTCATCCATTGTGATTGCCTTTCCTCTCCCACAAGTGCTTGATCAAGTCAACTTGACGTCTCTCGTGAACATATGAAGATTGCATTTCTTGATAACGATCAATCATGGGGTTGTTGAATTGACCATCCCGAAGTAACGGTTCGGGCTCCATTGGTAGTCCATTTGGTCCCATCAGCCTTTCATATATTCTTGTCAAGGCCGTGTTCAAGGGATCGGGTTCAAATACCTCTGGAGCATCGTAGTCATACTCATCCTCCACAATCATGTTGTGGAGGATGATGCAAGTCATCATAATACTCCGCAGCACCTCCTCATCTAGCATCCGAGCAGCACCCCTGATAATTGCCCAACGAGCTTGCAAGATACCGAAACACCTCTCCACGTCTTTCCTGTAACCTTCTTGAAAGGAAGCAAAGCTTCTTTCCTTCTCGGATTAAGGATTCGAAATTGTTTTCATGAATGTCGTCCACCTAGGATAAATTCCGTCGGCAAGGTAATACGCACCAGAGTATACGGTATTGTTGATTTGGTACGTGACCTGGGGGGAATGACCTCGCAATACCTCATCGAACACCGGGGATTGACCAAGGACATTGAGGTCATTCTGAGATCCGGCAACCCCGAAGAAGGCATGCCAAACCCAAGTGTCGAATGAAGCTACGGCCTCCAAAATTATACTTTTTTGCCCCTTCCGATTCCCGTACTCTCCTTGCCAAGCAGTAGGAGAATTCTTCCACTGCCAATGCATGCAATCGATGCTTCCAATCATTCATGGGAAACCTCGATCCTCTCCTTTTTTTAGAAGCCTTTGCAGGTCCCTCGGCGTGGGTTTGCGAAGGTACTCCCTCGTGTACAAATTTTCCACTGCGTCACAAAATCTCACCAAGCACTCTAGGATAGTATATTTTTCCATCCTTGCAATCTCATCCACCTCCTCTGCAGATGCCCCATAAGCAAGCATCCACAAAGCAGCTGTAAGTTTTTGCTCCGGGATAAGACCCAAAACTCCAACAGCATCATTCTTTTGAATGAAGTATGTGTCGTAATTACAAATATCATGCATGATTTTTTGGAACAACTGTGGCTGCATTCTATATCTCTCGCGAAACTTAGAAACAGGATATAAGGAATTTGGGATAAAGTAATCCTCCAAGAGATTCTTCCCCCGAGACTCCCTACGTCTGTCCACATTCGGGGCACGACGACGGTGTTGCCTTGATTGATTAAGCATACACACCGCTGCTGCAAGCATTTGCTCCTCTTCTTCATCGGCGTCTCGATCTTCTTCAGCACGTCTACACCGAATTTCTTCCCTTTCTTTCTGTTGCCTCTCCAACACCCTCCTCAAGTTTGACATTGAGAGTAGAAAGTGTTTTGTAAAATATGAGAAATGAAGGAATAGATAAGAGATGGTGTGAGAGGTATGAGTTGATGGTGTAGTTTTATAGAGGGATTCAGAAGACAGAGATGACACGTGGCACAAATTTAGAGGGTGAAAATCTTATCTGAAATCTGAGATTATAATTTTTTAAACATATCTAAAAATCTTATCTGACATGGGACACGTGGCACAATTTTAGAGGATGAAAATCATATCTGAAATCTGAGATTATAATTTTAAAAAAAATATATGAAAATCTTATCTGACATGGGACACGTGACACAATTTTAGAGGGTGAAAATCTTATCTGAAATCTGAGATTATAATTTTTTTTAATGAATATCCGAAAATTTTATCTGGAAAAAGACACGTGGCAACCGAGATTCTCATCCGAAAATCTTTTCTGAAAAATAATGGACACGTGACAATCAAAAATCTTATTCGAAAATTTAATTACAAAAGATTATCAAAATTAATGGTTTAAAGTATAAAAAAAGTAGGAAATAAAGTACAATGAATAGTATTTACATTAGACTTGCCCTAGACTTAGGCCACATGGGTGGAACCACAAATGGCAAGGCTGACACTATTCATGAGAATCTCGGTTGCCACGTGTCTTATTCCAGATAAAATTTTCGGATATTCATTAAAAAAAATTATAATCTCATATTTCAGATAAGATTTTCACCCTCTAAAATTGTGTCACGTGTCCCATGTCAGATAAGATTTTCATATATTTTAAAAAAAATTATAATCTCATATTTCAGATAACATTTTCACCCTCTAAAATTTTGCCATGTGTCCCATGTCAGATAAGATTTTCAAATATGTTTAAAAAAAAAAATTATAATATCAGATTTCATATAAGATTTTCACCGTTTAAATTTGTGCCATGTGTCATCTCTATCTTCTAAATCCCTCTATAAAACTACACCATCAACTCATACCTCTCACACCATCTCTTATCTATTCCTTCATTTCTCAGATTTTACAAAACACTTTCTACTCTCAATGTCAAACTTGAGGAGGGTGTTGGAGAGGCAACAAAAACAAAGGGAAGAAATCCGGCGTAGACGTGTTGAAGAAGATCGGGATGCTGATGAAGAAGAGGAACAAATGCTTGCAGCAGCGGTGTGTATGCTTAATCAATCAAGGCAACACTGTCGTCGTGCCCCGAATGTGGACAGACGTAGGGAGTCTCGGGGTAAGAATCTCTTGGAGGATTACTTTATCCCAAATGCGTTATATCCTGAATATAAGTTTCGAGAGAGATATGGAATGCAGCCACATTTGTTCCAAAAAATCATGCATGATATTTGTAATTACGACATATACTTCATTCAAAAGCATGATGCTGTTGGAGTTTTGGGTCTTATCTCGGAGCAAAAACTTACAGCTGCTTTGCGGATGCTTGCTTATGGGGCATCTGTAGAGCATGTGGATGAGATTGCAAGGATGGGAAAATCTACTATCCTAGAGTGCTTGGTGAGATTTTGTGATGCAGTGGAAAATTTGTACACGAGGGAGTACCTTCGCAAACCCACG